GGCAGAACCTGGACGAGGGCATCCCACNNGTGACACTTTTAACACACAAGTTAGGGCTAATCTGTCCCAATCGGAACGTAGCCAAGGCAGGACCTGGACGCAGCAGGCATACAGCGTTGAACTAAGAAGACAGGGCTCATTTTTGTCCCCACTGAATTTACTTTTACCACACAGATAATAAATAAAAGGAATAATGAAGACACTGAACACCATTTGACCGTTAAGTTGTACAATATTTATTCAGGACGATTCAGAGTCTTCTGTTTGTTCGAGCGGGCGAGCGCCCTGGCTTTTCCCTTTGGCAGGGCGCCATGGCAGCGTCCTCCTGCTGGTTCCCTCCTGGAAAAGAGACACATAAAGGGAAGTTAGCCAATGCCATACGTTCTGCTGTCCACGCCAAAGAGAATGTGATTTTTACCAGGGGAGAGACGGAAGTCTCTGTCCTCTTGCGCCCTTTCCGCGGGGGGCTTTCAGTGCCCGCTGCCTCCCCATCCTCCTCCTCCTCCACCACCTCCTCCACCAGGGCCCTTTCAAAGAGTCTGCGGCGCTCGCGTGCTTGGAGAGGTCCGAGGTGAAGTGCGTAGAACTTATCTGAGGTTGAAGTGTCATGGCACATGAATTGCGCCACCTTGCGGCGATCCTCTGAAGAGTGTGCATTCTTTGCCTGCGTCGGAGAGAGACAGAAGCTTGATTAGGATAGAAGCCGCCGCTGGTAGTTACAGGGGCGTCACAATGCCTACTCACATGAGTCGCGATCGCAGTGCGTACGTCAGTAAAGGTGGGTTTGCCTGGAAGGCCCATACTGAGCCAAGCAGACTGAAAGTACTTGTTCAGGGTCCGACAAGGACTGGCTCTGGAAGTGAAAAAGAAATAGGTAGCCTGGCTCCCTCCGGGGAGACCAGCCCGCAGCGCCAAAAATCTGCGGAACCAGCTGTATTCCTCCCTGTTTAGGGACAGCTGAGCCGCCCCAAAGGCTCTGTTTGTTTTGTGAGTGGTAATCTGCCATCAGAGAACAAGCAGTGAGTGAGTGAGTGAGTGAGTGAGTGAGTGAGAGAGAGAGCATGCTACTGGTGACCCCCACCTTACTTGCGCCATACTCACGTTAATGACATAAGCAGACTCGTCGGGGCTTCTGGAGGCCTCTTCAACCTCCTGGATTGTGAGATTCTGGAAGACTCCACAGCGGTGCCCAGAGATGGAGGTTAGGTAGCCAGTCAGAAAGCCATAGAAGCGCCACTGTTGCCTAGTGCTTGGGTTGGATTCGAGGCTATCTGGTGAAGGACATTAGACAGATTAGACCACCGACGGTTCTATTTCCTTTCTGGGTCACCAACAGCTCTTGGCTGCTGGTGACTTGTTCTCCGGGGCGCCAGCAGCTCAAACAACAGCT